CTTCTTATGTCAGGYTTTTCAGCCATTTCCATGATGACAGATTTAGATACTATCCTTTGAAATCTGATTTAATTTGCTGAACCATATTCAGCAGTAGTAAGACTTTTAGTATTACAATTTAAGTATAATTTTTTGAAATATCCCGTAAAATTTAGTGYGTGTATGAAGGGTCCTGTTTTTTCCCTTTTTATTTATTTAAATTGAATAAAAGGCTGGCATAAGACATAATATCGTTAGTTTTAAGTTGCAGACAATAGTTTAGTATAGTACAAGTATTTTAATAATAAGGAGAGACTTATTATGTTTAGTTGGCTATGATGCTTGACAAGAGTCATTTATTAGCTACGTTAAGACCAACATTATTAAGTTGGAAAGGGACCATGTAAATAGAAGCTTGAATTTTATCAAATACATGATTTGATTTTGATTTTAGCAGAATTACAAAATGAAAAATATAATAAGTTGTATATAAAAATTTGTATTTAAATTAGCTCTACTAAAACTCCTCAAATTTTCTAAATTTTTCCATGCTTCCTAGGAAATGGCTTAGAAAAAAATGTTTAAAATCTATCTTTTCTTTCACAGATGAGCTAGATTATTCTATTTTTAGTATCTGACTTATAGCTAGTCACTAGTTGTGGTTTACATAGTTATACTGCTAAGTATATTAAACATTTCAAAATACATCTGATGTTTACTTATTTTACAACTCTGTGTTACTGTGTGGCTAATTCTTTTATATATATATATATATATATATATATATAATCCCTTGCATTTAGTGTTCAAAGTTGTATTAGGATTTCCACATTGCTCAAATCTGATGGTGATATTCACATATTAATCTATATGAATAGTGTCCCCTGGAGTCCTACAGCCCAGGTCTGTATCAGAGGCTTCATTAAAATTTAAGAGTGAGTAGAGGGATAGATTTCTCTATTTTTTTKTTTTTTTTGGTCAACTTGATTTGTTAACATACTTCAAGTATGTGGACCTGGTTTCACATCTAGACATTTTCTATTTGGGTGATACTTTGAGAAATTTGGCAAATAYCTTGAAATTGTCAATTTCAAGGCCAATCCACTTATTTACCTTTGTTGTGTGATGGGAATAGTTTGTCTTATTGTAGTAAGAATCTAAGTCTAAATAGCAAGTAAAGTCCCTGACTGAGACACAACTAAAATGGGTTGTATTAAAGAATATGGATTCCTAGATCAACACTGAATGATCATTCCAAGGGGAGGCTTCAACTTTGTTAACCTACAAATGCTTCCTTCAAATTTCAGAGTAAGTTAAAATTAGTGGAAGTTCCTTACTTAGAAGAGAAGCATTTCAGTATGAATTGGGCTAACTAAATCTTCCACAAAATCTTCCTAGACAATCAGTTCAACAGAACTTCAAATTAATATCTGAAGTTGCTATTCTATATTTCCAACCCAGCTGGAAAATTCTCAAAATTTCTAGCAGGCAATCATCTGGAAAAACAACACCTACTAGATTGTAAAAATCAAATTCTTAAACATTTTTACAATTATTTAAAGGTTTTAGTTTGCCTTCCCAAACATATATCTTCTTTTCCTATAGAGTCTTATTTTTTCACCCCACTCCCACCCTAAGGTAATTCATATCCTCAGTTCCATGTCCAGTCCAATCATGGTGTCCCTTCCCCTTGCAATGATAGCTCTAGACATGAATATATGATATATTTCTGCAAATGAACCATGTAGGAGAGTCTGCTGGAGTCTTTTGAGAAATGTTTCTTCATTCTCATGAAGAGGAAAGAAAGAGAGAGAGAGAGAGAGGAGGGGTGGGGAGAGGGAAAGAGAAAGAGAAAGTTTTCTTCTGGACATTGTTAGGTTTCAATGTGATGACTGTAACTTCAGAATGCATTTTATGACCTCAATTAGCCTCCAGGTCTTCCACTCATGATGGCAGAATGTAA